GTAATTTATAATATAAAAGAACAATAAGGGAAATTTAAAAACCAGAAAGGAATTATTTTTCGTTCTCTGACTAAACGGCGCCGGACAAAAATGACAATAATAATTATCTCAGCCTAAAACACATTTTTCTTCCACCTGTGTAGCTTACAGCGCCGAATCTCGACCTTTATTTGAGATAAAAATGTACATTGGTCAATCTCCAATGTCGGGCGATTATCCTCCCGTTATCAGAAGTTTTCTGTGTTGCGTAGTTCTCTAGATCACGTGGCGCACATTTTGCAAAAAAAAGGTGATCAAACAAGAAAACAATAAAAAAATTCGCAGCAAAAACACAATATGCCTGTCGGCATAAAAAACAAAAATCCCTGAACAAATAAATACAAAATGTCTATCACCATAACAATAGAGTACTAATGAGTTACGAAATAAATAATAATTTTCAGATTTTTGTAAGATATAGACTTTAGAAAACTAAAATATTATTTACAAAATACATAGAAGCATCGCATCATATCATCTTAAGAGTACGTCCGTGCTGATAAATAAAGAAAAAACATCTATTTGTTTATCTTTATAAATAACGTACAGAATCTACAAAACACATCTTTCCATGGGAAGAATGCGACACTCAATTAAAGAAAACTCTCATATTGTAATGATACGCGAAGTCTGCCTTCTAAAACAGGAAAGTTGCGACTTTATAACGCAAGAGGACGTAACATCAGAAGTTGACCGTGAAAACTTTTAAGGTATTAAAATTTAGTATTGGAAAAAATACCTTTTCATTGTGACTTTCAACATTTTACTCGTTACAATTTTTAATGGTGTAAAAATAATTACGTTAAAAGTATGTCATTATCAAATTGAAATTCATGTACAATACAATGCTGATGTCAAGGTGAAAACGTGATGCCTAGGTAACAATTACAAATGCTAAAAGTGTGGCGTGTAGCAATTACTTTGCCCAAAGGCATGAGCATTTTTGGGAGAAAAACATTTTTTTCTACAGTGCCTTGCGATACTCCTAATTGCGCTTAAATTAAAATTCACAGTATAGCGCAAGCGGGAGATTGTTAATAAGTGATAGTTGTTCACTGTACTCTATCAACCTTAACGAACATTTTAGATGTATTTTGTGTGATTTTTTAACACGTCTTCTTTCCTTTAAGTAAAAAGTATAAAACCGAAGTCATAAAATTCTATAATCTGGAGTCTTAACTAAGTAGTATATATGCTTGAACTCACAATAATATCGCTTAAAGGAACCCACTGCCGATCTCGTCATATTTCAAGAGCAATCCTTTCTATTCCACTTGTTTCACAGACACTGTTCCTTCATTATTTGTAGGGTGAAGAAACTAGCCTAGAAACAAATCAACAAAAAAAAGTTGAGCAAAGCTTTAGTTTATTTTCAAACAAAAACAACATCCAAAAGCTAAATAACGATAAAACCCAAAAAAATAACAACGTACAATAAAAAAATGACTAGAAATATGACTGTACTGATATGAAAACTTTCTTGAGTCAGAAAAACGAGTTAAAGTGTGCAATTTTGTAAGTAAAAGTATACAAAATTCATGATAAATCTCGTCATTAGTACACTCTAATAAAGCTCATTCAGTAGAAACGCCAGCATACCTTTTTCACAATTACTTTTTGCCTTTTTTGTATCAATGAATTTGTATAAGAAATTTCATCAGTTTTTGATATCGAATCGTTCTCATTTCTGTACCAATTGCACTTGCTCGTTCTGCATTCCTAAAGAAAACAAAAATAGTGTTCATTAACAATGTCTTTTATTCTATTTTCATTGCGGATTCATGAATAAGTCATTTCGTATCCGTGTATAAAAAATTCTCCTCTTTAGAATTTATACTGTCATAGCCACAATTTTCTCATCTGGCTCCTCATTAGAGACTCAGTAGTCCAGTAGACTAAATGGAGATTTGGATACAATAATTGCACTGCTTGCCTAAATGTCGTGTAGGTATAGTAGCATAATTTTTTTATTACATACCGTTTCCTTCCTTGGTCCTGAATTGGAAGAGCACACGCGAGTTCTTTAATAATTATTCGTTCTCCATTTTCAAATTCAATTTTTCGCAATTTTCATCAAATAATTTGGATGCTAATTTATAAGTCATTATACGATCAAGAAATGATTTTGCGTGTGATGCAGCAATAGTGATCAATCTCATTTTCAGTTAATAATTCCTTGGCTTCATCCATAATAACAGTATATATAGCGAAAAATACTCTTTCATTTGCTGACTCAGTTTTTTGCTACGTTAAAAGTGTGCCAGTGTCACGCCTGATATTCCCTCAGATTAAACTAATAGCATTCATTACATCCAGCGTTTCTAATAACAGAGTGTGCAGTGCCCGAACCAAATTAAATGTACACACTGTTTTAAACAGTGTGAGAAAAAACAAAGTGTACACTGCACACTCTACATTTTAAATTTACACTTTGTTTTTTGCAGGTTTTTACCAGTTTATGTAGAGAATATAGCGTTGTTTTTCGTGCATACCTCTCACTAATGACCAACGATTCAATTGCCGTGCTGTCTATACCTTGAATATCTAGATAATCTCAATCTCAATAGATTAGTGGAAAATTCAACCACGAATAGAAAAGACAGAACAAAGGAAGAATACCTGATATTAGTCTTTTATGTATCCTATCCAAATTAAGAAAATGAAAGTACAGTCACTATACCACTAAACGAGAAACGATACTGTTTCATGAAATCTCGGAGAAATTTGACAAACTGCTCAGTTTTTCAACATACTAGTTTTCTTAATTCGTTTTTATACATTTCTGGATGAAATAAATATGAAGGATGATAATTAGTGTTCCTAACAGAATTTATCCGCTGAGCGTACGACTACGCTCTGTTTTTCCAACCAAAATATATGCGTATGCTCTGGTTTTTTTTCGCAAAGCGTACACGTTTTAAATCTAAAAAGAAAACATCAATCATCAGGAATTAGAGGAGAAAAATACAAACTTTCTTTATACAGGTTTTTTTCCTGGAAAGCAACTTTGAAAACACAGACAATTACAAATAGAGAAAAATATTACTGATCTTGTACAACAAGAAAAAAGTCTCTTCTCCTATCTTACTACTCACTTAGAGACAGTTAAAAAGGGTTTTCTTATTTTCTCTTAAATATAAAAGAAGTTCTATTAGAAAATAAAGCGTAAACAGCGATAGCAAAGCGTAAAACAGAGCGTATTTTTAAATTCCGAAGCGTATATACGCTTTGCTGTTAGAAACACTGGTGATAATAAAATTCAACATTGAATGCTTTTGTTCTAAGAAAGTTAACAACAACATTAGTATCATCGTCGGCATCGTCAAAGAAAAGTGAACGAACACACAGACTTCGAATTTGAACACAATGAATCAACATCTGACTTGAAGATCAGCCTCGCAATCACTACTATTGAGTGAAAAAAATAATAAAAATTCATTGACTCCTACATCAAGCAAAACAGCGAACAAAAATAGTAGTTTTCATCAAAAACAATATTTAAATGCTTGGGAAAAACAGCCAGAAGCACTGTATTTAACAAATTTCAAATGACTAATTCGGCGCGAGATATAGAATACCGTTGTTGGCTGTATGGAAAGCAGAATGAAAAAAGAGAGATGAAATACAACCTTTTGTATTTTACCCTTATGACATTTTTTAATTTTGGTGTACTTTGGGCTCCGAAACAAAGTGTACCGGTACATTCTGACTCCAATTCTCATTAGAAGTGCTAGTCATATTACAACTCTGATAGTGATGGCCGCGTTCAAAGAGATGTAACATCACACTTTTTGGACACAAAAGGAGTAGCGGTAATACTATACAATAACAGTGAGATACTTGACTTTTTACACTGTGAATGACATTGTTTCACTTTTCGATATTTATATTTTGTCTATGGCAAATACTAGACCATAAGTTATTGGCGAAAAATCGCCTAATTACATACAGGTACTAAATCTCCGTACGTACGATATTAATTGATAGAAACGCGACCGTATTTAAAATATAATATATTTATCACTTTTAACTTCGTTCGATAATAGGACTAACACCATATATGAACTGCTACTTTATTGCCCGGTTGTATCTGATGGAGTCCTGCCATTATAATGAATCGCTACAATATCGTAGTCCTCACAAATCTTAGCGAAAAGTGGCTCTGCATACAATCACATACAATAATATAATACAATAATAGCTGTGTGACTTGATAATTTAAATTGTATTCGTGACTTATACACAAAAATATTTTGATCCGGGGAACTGTCACTTGTACTGAATCAGACGTACTTACTGCAAAGAGGAGTTACCATGTCTATATGCATACGATGGTGAAGTGTCATAAACGAATGAGAAAATAGTAAAGAGAATAGCTTTTATTTTATCTATCGGTTCTCAGCTGTTGTTCGCTCAAAGTAAAAAAGATAGAAATGGCAACCCAGACTCAGACATTGAAGCGGGTTCAACCAGCACGTTTACAAGACTATCTTTACGGTATTTTACAATGATGGCCCCGTGTTCTGTTTACGTATATTCTATGCCTCTTTCGGTTAGATTCAACCCATACTGTGTCAAGTATTCGTGATCATGCACGTGAAGCATTTATTGCGAGGACAAATGTGGATCAGCTGGTAGGTTGTTATCAGTAAATTCTTCTGCTAATTGATGCTGGTCTATGGGATGAGCTAAGAAAATTCGTTAGAATCAACAAATAAATGCAAGAATGTAGAATAACAGTCTGAGTTGAACTGTTCGATGAACAGAAAACAATATAGACTGCACTAAGAACCTCAGCATTTCTTAACAGATTGATTTCAAAAGATCATCCAGTCAAGTCGATAGGCAAGTGTTACTTCGGAAATTGTATACAATCTTTACTTGAAAATAGTTTCATTGTATCTGATGATTTAAACGTTTCACCTTTTGCATTTAAGCAAGCTGTTCCCGTGTATAACCATATGTTCAGTGATCTTCGTCAATATCCTCGTTTTGAATATCGTATGCAGTCAAATGATAATGTGCCATCTCACATGAATCGACAATGGCAAGGACAAAATGAAGCACATCGAGAACAAATTATCTTATCGAAATTGTACGTATCAGAGCCCGAAACGAAACGACTTGAATAGTAGTTGATTTTTGCCCCTATCATTGCTCAAACTTAGATCCATCAACGATACAGCGCCGAGTCTTAAATGTTTCCTGTTCTGTGTTTTTAACGGCTTAGAGTTTATAACGGTAATGTGTGTTAGAGTATTAGAATTTTTTCATGGCATGTTTGGAAGTTCTACTTACATGAGTCATATGTTCTGCTCGAGTGTGCTAACTCGAGGCAGTTTATTCTGAACGAATATCTGAAAAATAAAAAAAATGAAAGCTTGAATTTTTGTTGAATCGGGTCGAATCGAACCGATTTAGGTTTTTGAAATTGTTGTCCTGAATTGAATAAAATTCACTTGATTCGTTTCGTGCTCCGGTACGTATTAGGCATAGAGCGAAGAGAACTATATACAAAGTGTTCTATTTAATTCTTTAAAAACGATTTCTCGTTTCAGATTTACCGGGAATGATGCATTTGTTGTGCCACCGCGTACTTATGCTCATGTTGATGTTAGTGGAAAAGAAAGAGCAAAATATTTTCGAAAACCATTATTACCGTTTATTGAAAATGTTCAACCGTTAGTCGTATTAGACGTGACAAGGTACAGATGATGTGAAATACTAAAGTGAATTTTGGTTTTGGCACAACGTTAGAAGGATTGGTTGTAATGAGTCAGAAGAAAGACATCTTAAAATTTCTACGTTTGTTTCAAGTACATATTCCTTCATTTGTATTTCTTAGACCAGCTATCTTTGATTCAAGTGATAAACATCATGGTCTGACAACCACACGGGTCAGTACGTCGTATCAGTCACATAAACAGCGTACAATGGTTAACTCGCCGACAACGAAAACACAAAGTATTCAAACAGATTATATGGAACGCGAAGCACAAACAGATCCTTATACACCAGAATATGTATGTAAGCCGGGAGAACAGCCAGAAGTGTTAACCTTAGCCACTCTTATGCACAGTATGTTAAATAGAATCTATTTGCTGGAGTATATGATGTATATCTTAGTTTGCTGTTTTTTAGATAAAGGCTTACCAGCTGGATTGGCTGAAGTGGAAATGATTGAACGTGCACGTGCTAAACGGGCGTGGGAAGCAAGTTTACCTTCATTAAACGATGAAAATCAGTGGGATAACAGATTTAAAATGATGTCAGAAATGGAAAGACACGAGTGGTTATTGAGAGAAAATGAAATTGAAAAGTAAACAAAAAAAGCGAAAATTCTTGATACTACCTAACTAATCTAGTTGAGAAATCTTAGATAGCTAAGACCTATTTTTTCTTATGTATTCTTTATTTTCATGAGAGAGTAAAAACAATCCCTTAGCTTTTTGTTTTATCGTGTAGTTCCTCTATTTTTGTGTTTATTTATCTGAGTTTGTATCCGCCAGATTTATTTCTGTTGGACGCAGGAAGAAGGATGTTGTAACAGCTGTATGTTTCAATGTAATTTGCTTCTTTCACTCTTTTGCTTTAGATTACAAAATATACGTATTGAATTATTAGAAAGTTTATTAAAAGAAAATGAATCAAAGCGCTATGATACATCGATTAATCGTATAAATAAACAATGGAGTCAAAAACAAATTGAGAGAGAAGATTATGTGAAAAAAAATCGATTATATTATCTAAGAGGTAAGCACAACCATATAGTAAACTAGATTGTTTATTTGTTTGTTTATTTTAGCTATTCGTTCATTATTACATAAACGTCAACATGTTGAAACACGATACGAAAAGTCAGACATCATCAAAGATTATATTCGTTATGAATCAGAGTCCTACGCACCATTGACAAGACACGGTTATTTTCCAGATAAATTAACCGATAAATACATTATTAAAAGCAGATATTTAGATACATATCAAGGTAACCGGAGTGAATCGTAGAACGATACAATTTGCTACTTCAGTACTGAATCCTTGAAGATCATGTTATTTAATGTTCTTTTGTGGCTTCACGACGAAAGATGAATAGTTCTTTGCTTAATCAAAGGCAGTGGTTTCTCCCTCTCTAAATCTTTACACTAGATTTTGACTTTCTATAAAATATTATTTATCTTTGTGTTTTTTTATTAGGCTTATTGGAATTAGAGTCAACATTGCCATCATCAGCTTTAAAAATAAAATTACATGCACCAAAGCGTCAAAATACCACAAAAGCTGGATTCTTGAAAAGAAACTATAGACGAGAAAGGGATCTTGAAAATATTTATAAGGTTTAAATAATGGATCTTTACTTCATAATGAACCAACTACTCATTTTATTCTAGGGCATAATAAATGAAAAACTGAAAGAACCAGAAGAGCCAAAACCACTGAAATTTCTTATTAAAGTTGAAAAACCATTACCACGACCACGTAAGTTTTGTTAATTGAACGATCTATTGTTTTTATTAATTCATGGTTTAAGTTGAACAATTTAAGTATAGATAATAAGATGCAGATTTTTTAAGATGTTTCAAAAGACATCAGTAGTCAAATGGCTACAAAAGTAATTCCAACATATAGTAGAAAAGAATTATGTGCACGTGTAGAGAAGGGAATAAAACCCTAAATTCTTTCTTTCTACTAGTGAGTATGTTATGTATAATGACTAATCAAATAATATTCAAATAAAGCTCTTACGAGAATAGAGGACTCTTCTCTTCGTCCTATTGTGAATGTCCATCAGCGAGAAGACGTTTCCATAGAAAGTCACGTCATAGTCTTAGTCACGTTCAGCAGATGAGCTATTGTCCGTGAAAATTTGTGTGTAATGATCAAGTTTTGGTATGAACAACTCAAATATGAACAAATTCTTTTAGCTCTCATACACAGACATTTTATGATGTTATTTTTGTGATTTATTGCTTGATTACTCATGCATTGCAGATATAACCCGGTATCAGTTGGCTTCCGATATACACTTTATTTTGAATATTGTTTAATTAGTCATTATACATAACATACTCACTAGTAGAGAGAAGAAATTTAGGGTTTTATTCCCTTCTCTACACATGCACATAATTCTTTTCTACTATATGTTCGAATGACTTTTGTAGCCATTTGACTACTAATGTCTTTTGAAACATTTTACAAGTTTAATGTAAAAATGGTAGTCTTATTATGTAGATCTATTGTTTCACTCACAGATGTTAGTACGTTGGTAAAATCCTTGTTTTTCATGTCTTACATACCGAAATATACATTATTTTTAATTGTTTTAGCAACGCCCGGTGTTGACGTTCCTGATCTTGTAAGTGTCATTGGATATGAACATATAGATTTTGCTTTACTGTTTTTCATTTTTACGTTTAGCAAAATGAAGAACGTGAAGTTGGACTTATCTATTTACAAAAAATTCTACGAGGAAGAGCAATACAAAATATGGTGAGTTTATTAAGAGAGAGGCAAGGATGAGAAGGGTACTATTAAAAATTACTGTTCTGAAATAATTCAGATAACTATTGAAAAAATTCATTTGGTTCTTAAGTTTGAAAACGTTAATTTATCTCAATTTTTACTGTAATTGTCTAGTAATCACTATCTCTTAGTTACGTAAAATACTGTTAAATTATAATTAATCTTCAGACTCCACCAATGTGGTGATGCTACAAACTTTAATAAACTTTTCTTTCTTGTTCGAGTGCTCGCCACAATTGTGTTTTGATGAGAATTCCGACTAACTGGAAATAATAATTTTGGTTAAAAATGTACAAATTTATTTTATTTTCTATTTAGATGTACAGAGGAAAAGAAGAACGTATTGAATTAATTAAAGAGATGCGTAGTACTCATGCATTACAAGAAAGAGATATGAATGAGAAAAAATTAGAAAAACAAGACGTACAAGTACAACAATACAAACAACGAAAAGATGTTAAACGAGTATGGATGAATAAACTGATCTATTATTATTACTGAAACATGCAGTCTTATTTATAGGAAGAATTTATTGATGCAATTTTACAAACATATGAAGGTGAAGCAGTTAGTAATGTGGTTGATTTTCTTAGCAAAGAACTGATACGTTTACAAGAAGAAAGACGGATCGAAGCATTTGCAATATTAGCCGAAAGAAACAGACGTTTGAGAGAAGCTGAAGAATCCGGTTTGAGACAAGTGTTAGAACGAAGAAGAAGAGAAGAAGATGAAATATTTAAACAAGTAAGATTGACAAGATAAGATCATACATTTGGCTTTTCTGATGCGCCTAATCAACAACTTTGGTTATGAATAAACACACAGGCTCATTTTATTTTGAAAATATGGATTATGGTAAAGAGGAAGGACCAGTGATATAATAATACCTGTTCGTAGAGCAGCTCTGGAAATTATAATTACTGCAGTTCGAGCAGATAGTTGTTTATTTTTTTGGTGAATCTGCTTTGCAATAATATTTTCGATTGAACTTAAGGATTAGGTATTTTGTTTCTTTTCAGCTAGCTGTTGAATTCAGTAGTACACCGGGTGGTCCAGAGAAAATAGCGGTGTTAGTATTTTGACTATAACTTTTTTTCTTTTCAGCCCTTAGACCTGATTGTTTTCCGAAAAGATGCGCCGTCAAATTTTCTACAAAACTTGATCAGACTGATTTCTAGAGAAAATTAAGGAGAAAAATTAAACGAAGAATATTCAACACGTAGAAACGGATCAACTTTCTAAGCTATTTTGATTTACAAACTTTCGAGTACTTTAAACAACTCTAAAGACAACAAAGCAGAAGTTAAAATGTTTTTGAGTGCTTTCAAGTGCGTTCTTTCTTGTCATACAGTTCAAAGTTCGTTCGAATCCAAATAAGCATTGAAAAATCTAACATTCCAAAATGACTAAAATCTGTTTTTTTTCGCCAGCTAAATTTGAGAAGAAAACTTTAAAGCAAATTTTCGCCGTTGAATCTGGTACAGGAGTTATTTCTCGTCAACATTGAAAAAACCCAAGCGCATAAGACGCTATTTTGACTTCGTTGTGTGATGTTTTCCAGGAGCTCCGAAACTGCCGAATCAAATAGCAGAATTTTCGAAAGTCTCAAAGAAGAGAAAATCGATGCAAGTCTCGAAGATTGATTTAGCATTTGTTCACCTAATACTGGTTGATAAAGCTTTTCAAGGGCTATAAAATGCGTATGTTATCTACTTTTATATCACGCATTTCAATGAAAGTAGTTGGACAAAACGGTTTTCCAACTTAGAAAGTTGGTCCGCTTCTACGTGTTGAATATTCTTCGTTTAATTTTTCTCCCTAACTTTCTCTAGAAATCAGTCTAATCAAGTTTTGTAGAGACTTTGATGGCGCATCTTTTGGAAAAACAATCAGGTCTACGGATTGAAAAGAAAAAAAGTTATAGTCAAAATACTGACACCGCCATTTTCCCTGAACCACCTGATATGTGTTTATTGTTTGCGAACGTTCCGAACAAAATACTTGATCTATATGATTTATGTTTCCGTGTTATAAGTTCATTCAATGCAGTATTTTCTTATGCTTTAGTTATTGAAAATGACTCAAAATACGGTTGATACATACCTAGAAGATGTTATATTAGAATCAATGAATGAATGTGCTAGTGAACAAGCTAGAATAGAAATTCAAGAGAAAGCAATCCACATAAACGAAATTGCAAATGAAATTGAACAAAGGTAATGAAAAATAGGTATAGTTTTTCAAATTGCTTATTCTAATTTTATATATTGTTTAGACGTACACGGTTTGAATCAGAAGGAATTGTTGCTGAACTTGTACATGGATTTTTAATACCAGAAATTGCTAAACAAGAAAGTCGAGGAAAAGGTTGGTTCCTTTCATTTCATTCTGTAATATAAATAAGGTCGTCTCAACTGACATACACAGAGAAAAAGAGGGATGCATATTGGTTGCGCTTGTTGAAATATATTTTATCAGAGGGAGGGAGAATGTAGGAGTGAACAGTCAAAACTGCAGTATCTCGTACGTGAAGTCTCTGCTGAAAATGTAGAATGAGATATTCTCAGCAGACTTGCGGCTTTTATCGCTTGATAGACAAGAGACTGACGAGGGAAGTACCCCAACTGATAAATCGCTTTTTCAACGAAACCGAGTGGATTATAGATAGTTGACGATGCTGATTCCGAATATCACCATGAATGCTGCTGCTAGCCCTTCAAAGACCGGTCTTCTGGAAAACCAGTTTTCGAGAAACTCCAAAGAACAACCAAAAGCTTTCTTAATGAGGCGTAATTGTAGTCCATAAATTTCTGATTAAAACGAGGCATCTCCCAGCTCTACACGACCTTTCTTTGCAAAGTTATAGAG